GAAGTATTCACTTTTAACACTTTATTATTCCCAGGGCTCGTTGACTATAAGTGGAATTTTACACATACATACCGATATTAGTTACAAGCATGACTCTTATTAATGTTTTTTCTCAGCTAATTATATACTGAAATAGCATGAAATTGTAAAAGCTTAAGACAAGGTCAACCTAATTTCTTAGTTACGTAGAAAAAAAAAATCACTTCTTACAAGGATTTCTGTGTCTGAGATCTTAGAATTTGATCATTTACTAATTATCACTATTAATTTACATGCAACAGTTCCTCATCAAGGCCTGATGTTATATTTTTCTTAATGATGCTTCATTTTCACATTTAGTGAATTATCATTTAAAATCAGTGTTAAGTTTTGTTAACATTTGAGATGGAAAAAAATAAATTTTGTAGAACTTATTGAACCAACTTCCATTCTGTGTCTTCACCTAAATTCCTTACTTTTCATCCTATGTGAACACATAGAATCATAGAATCATAGAATATCCTGAGTTGGAAGGGACCCTTAAGGATCATCAAGTCCAACTCTTGACACCGCACAGGTCTACCCAAAAGTTCAGACCATGTGACTAAGTGCACAGTCCAATCTCTTCTTAAATTCAGTCAGGCTCGGTGCAGTGACCACTTCCCTGGGGAGCCTGTTCCAGTGTGCAACCACCCTCTCTGTGAAGAACCCCCTCCTGATGTCAAGCCTAAATTTCCCCTGCCTCAGCTTAACCCCGTTCCCGCGCGTCCTGTCACTGGTGTTAATGGAGAAAAGGTCTCCTGCCTCTTGACACCCCCTTACGAGGAAGTTGTAGACTGCGATGAGGTCTCCCCTCAGCCTCCTCTTCTCCAGGCTGAACAGGCCCAGTGCCCTCAGCCGTTCCTCATACGTCTTCCCCTCCAGGCCTTTCACCATCTTCGTAGCCCTCCTCTGGACACTCTCCAACAGTTTCATGTCCTTTTTATACTGTGGTGCCCAGAACTGCACACAGTACTCGAGGTGAGGCCGCACCAGCGCAGAGTAGAGCGGGATGCAGTGTTAAGTGTTGCTGTAAGGATTCAACTCCAGTCTTCTTTGCATGCCTGCTCAGAGGACTTGGAGAACTCTTTTATGCTTTCTGTGTTCACAAAAGGGAAATTTGAAGAAAGAGATTAATAATGTCTTTTCTCACTGTTACAATATTAAATTGTGAGATTTAGTTTGGGATATCATGTTAAGGTACTGGTGGAAACTTTCACTGTATCAGCTGCGAATGCATATTCTTTAAATCCTTCCTTCATTAAATATGGTGTTGAGGGGGAAAAGGAAATAGGTAATTTATTTATTTATTTATTTTACTATATATTAATTATTTACTTTTCCTATAGCAGGAAAAAGTGCTTCTTTTATTTGCCAGTTTTCATTTCCTATTGACCCTCCTTTTCTTGGGATGGAAACAAAGCAAGTTTATCCAGCATCTGTCTATTGCAGAATTTCTTTCCAAAAGACAGCCAGATGATCTTAAGTAAAATGCTAGGAAGAACAGTATCAGACACAGAAAACAGAAATGTTTCTCATTTATTCAAACCTTAATGATGAATATTACTGACACAGCATAGTGTCTTAGCAACTAGTTTGAGACCTGAAAACCTCTTCCAGTGCCCATCTATGGTGTTTTTACCATTCTGGGGGCATCTAAACTCCACTACTCCACCACAATCTCTCTACCACACCTCCTCTTCAGAGGAAGGGGGGGAAGATCACTCAACAGTTACTGTCACAGGCAAAACAGACTCAACAGAGGGAGATTAATATAATTCTTTGCCTATTACTAAGAGAATAGAACAGTGAGAACTAAAAGCAAACTAAAAAGACCTCCTTCCTCCCAGTCTCCCTCCCTCAACCCCCCCCCACCCATACTTCTCTACCTCCTCCCCCCAAGCAGTACCAGGGAACAGGGAATGGGGGCTGCGGTCAGTCCCTAATGCTTTGTCTCTGCTGCTCCTTCATGGCCACTCTCTGCCCCTGCTCTACTGGGGGCTCCTCCACGGGATGCCGTCCTTCCTGAACTGATCCTGCGGGGTCTTTCCACAGGCAGCAGCTCTTCAAGAACTGCTCTAATATAGGTCCATTCATACCATGGGGTCCATCCCCCAGGAGCAAACTGCTCCAGCACGGGTTCCCCACAGGCAGCAGCTCCCCCCAGACCCCTTGCTCCTGCGTGGGCTCCTCTCCACGGGTTGAAGCTCCGGCCTGGGGCCTGCTCCTGCCGGGGCTCTCCATGGGCCTCAGCCTCCTCCAGGCCACATCCACCTGCTCCACTGGGGACTCCACAGGCTGCAGGGGAACTTCTGCTGTGTGCCTGGAGCACCTCCTGCCCTCCTTCTGCACTGACCTTTGGGGCTGCAGGGCTGCTTCTGGCATATATTCTCACTCTGTCACAGCTGCTGTTGCATGGTACTTTTCCCTGTTCATAATTCTGCTTTCCCAGAGGCCCAACCATTGTCACTCATTCGGGTCCCTTTTGGAGCCGACTGAAGCTGGCTCTGATCTGATATGGGGCAGCTGCTGGATTCTTCTTACAGAGGCCACCCCTCCAGCCCCCTGCTACCAAACCCTTCTCACATAAACCCAATACACAATCTGTGTAAGTCAATGCTTTTTGTTTGGTCTTCTAGTCATACATTCCCGGCAGTAATATAAGAAATAGAATTGATTTGGCAGTCTGAGACAGACTATTAGGCAGGAAACAGAAAGAAAATAATAGGAAAGAAAAAGAATAAGCCTTGAGGAAAATGATGCATCAGGGAGGGGAAAATAGCAGAGCACCGAGCGTCATATACTAAATGAAACTTAGGCTTTAGCCAAAGTTTCCACCCTCTAAAAAACATGTGCTATAGCAAGACCTAGAAGAGAAAGTATAGACTTAAGTCTTTTTTAATATACATGTATATATATATATTAATAATTAAACATTTATTTTAGTTGCTATTTGGATAATAAACCTCAAATCCCAAAACACTCTACAAAAAGGCAGTTTAACCCCAGTTGTGGGGCAGTTCGTACATCTGTGGCGTCAGTCCCATGGACAGTGGTGGTGCTCCATCCTGAAGCATCCCAAATGCCAGGGCTTGAAGCAGAAAGGTCTGTGAGATCAGACGTTTGAAGAGCAGTGAGGGAATCTGATGCTCCTGGTTCTTCTCACACAACCAGGCAGGCTTCCAACTGGAGACAAACTTAATAGCACTGCTCTTCCATCAGTCTCTTGGACGGGCTGCTGAAGAGAGGGGTGAATGAGATGAAATCTGAGTAAGCTGTGATGCATATGTTTAATGTAAATGATGTTGGAACATGATCCAAATTGAACAATCTCTGCTTTTTATTTTGAAGGTAATAACAACAACAACAACAAAAAAAAGGGTAGATATTTCACTGTTGATTTAAAAAGAATGATGAAGCTGCCTAATATCAGAGTAGTACACTGAACCAGGAGGCTAAATGCAGCTCAAAAGCAGCAGTGGCTGATCTCAAGTTCCTAACACACCACAAAAATGAGCATATCCAGCTTTTTATAACTAAATATTTTTAGTTTATATTGTTATAATTTATTTATTTATTTAATTCCCATTAGGTATATAACCATACAATGTTCTGAACTTCTAATTGTTTGCTCTTTTTACTAACATAAGGGAAAAAGTTCTGAAATAAAAGGTAGTGAAATTATATTGACAAGCCAAATATTCCTGAAAATACTCTCCATGCAACTAGTTGTTAAGCAATGATCACAAACACCATCATGTGATACTTCACACAGGCAATGAATTGTTATGAAAGACAGAGGATATCTTAACACTGTGACAACATATTTCTGAAGGAATGAAACACCCTTTCTGTGAGAAAGACTGTGCATGACTTGCATATAACACTTGATTGACGGGATTGTTTTTCTAAAAAGGATGAAGAAGAAGGATGGTGCTGATTGCCCAGAGGAAACGGAATCCTACATACCTCATGATTAACCTTAGCTGGGATGAGAATGGGTCTGAGCACATAGTTCTGTAACCTGTGTATGAGTCTTCTCTGAAACAAAAATCAACTCATCCCATCATTGACAATTCTAATGGTAGCCCTTTGTAAGAAGTTACTCTGCTATGTGAATGACCTGCTTTTGGAATGGGGAAGGAAAAATTCCTAGTATGTTTTAATCATAATGAGATGGGTTAGACAAAGGAGACTTCTATAACTGCCTGTCAGAACTTATTTTCCATTTTCCATACTGTGGTGGTTTCCATACTGGGCAGCTAAACCCCACAACTGCTCTCTCACTCCCCTTCTTCAGATGAGAAGGGGGAGAAGTAAAGCAAAGAACACCTCATGGGTTGAGATAAGGATAATTTAATTAAAGGGAAATAATAATAACAATTAAAGAAAGATTATTATGAACTAAACAATTTAACTAAAGGGAAATAAAAAGGGAAAGGGGAAAAGGGAGGGGGAAAGGGAAAATTTAAAAAAGGGAGGAAAACAAACAAATAAAACAAATGAAGGCTATGTGAAAGTGCAGAGGAAAGAAATTACTCGCTACTTCCCACAAATGAGCGATGATTGACCACATCCTTGCAGCAGGGCCTCAACGCACGTAGCCGGTGTTCAGGAGGAGGGCTGACGTTTTCCCAACGAGAGCCCACCCCTCCCCTCTTCTTCCTGTTTCCACCTTTTATTGCTGAGTGTGACATCACATGGTATGGAATATCCCTTTTGTTGGTTTAGGTTAGCTGCCCTAGTGATGTTTCTCTTCTCACTTTTTGCCCACCCCCTAGGAGGGTTAGAGAAAGGCCCAATGCTGTGCCACTGCTGCGCAGCAGTAGACACAACACTGGTGTGATACCGCTACTGTTCCAGCTACAAGTGCAGATACAGCACTGTATGGGCTGCTGCCGGGAAAGTTAACATTCCAACCAGACCCAGTACACATACATTAATGAGTGACAGAGAGATATCTGAGGAGTCAATATCAGGAGGGTAAGTCAACAATTCAAATCTGAGGAGTTCTATACCTGTGGTAGAGGAGCAGTGCAACCAACTCATTTGTATCTGGAATGGGTGTAAGTTTCATTCACCTTTAAAGACCTATAGATAACTTTTCTTTCATATTTATAGGTGACTGAGTTTTTTGTTGTTGTTATTGTTTTTTGTTTGTTTGTTTCTTTGTTTTTGTTTTGGTTTGTTTGTTTGTTTTGTTTTGTAGCACTGACCACCTATGTTTCTGAACATGCTAGATTTCATGTTTTTTAATATGAGATCCTAAGAAGAACTAAATAACTGTATTGGATTTTTTTATGAAGCTAAGTTTATGGAGCAAACAGTGGGAAACAATAAAGCTATAAATTAGTTCCATGCTTGATCAGACGGAAATCTGCATTTTTAAAGCAGATTGTTCTGCATGGGGAAGGAGACGAGGTATGAGAGAGAGAGATGGTGCAAGGTTCTCTTAGGATCTCAATAGGAAAGGCCACCCCTCAATCCACATACAGTTTACCTTTCTCAAATATATTATAAACTACAAATTATATTAATAAGCTGTTCAGGTAATAGTTTCCTTACTGGTTGGATTGTTATTTGTGTCACACCTACTAGCGCGCAGCACAGCCTGACATAGTACACTCCAGCAAGCTCCCACACAGCAGCTACTCATGCTAACATATGAGATTCTAAAGCCGTAAGAAGGCGCAATAGAGCAGACCTGGCTTGCTCAAAATGGCTAGTTCTTCAAATGCAATTTCTTCTGCAAGTCTCTCAGTACAACTTTTAACTTTAGACAGAATCATCAAGTCTTAAACAGTTTTATGAAAAAGAATTTCATGGTACAGTAATTGTAATCGATTACTATGAAATCCCAACTCACATAACCTACTAGTCATGGAATGCCTGGACTGCTAAAGAACCAATATGAACAACAAGTTAGAGCACACAACATAATGTCAATGATCCATAACACCTATATGTCACCAAAATTTACCATTTATTCTACTGCATTAACAGAAATGGGAAGTCTATGGAACATGGATCTTCGACTATATGGATCAGCTGGCTGAGCTATTCAGTCCTTCAGAAGGAACATACAAAATCTGTGGTAGCTATGGCAACACTGAAACTACTTAGGTCATGATTTGAAGAGTGACGTTTGAAAGCCTAGATGTCTTTAGCACTTCCAGCAAAAGAAAGTGTCAACCAAATAATCAGTTGAGTGAAATACAAAATTTACATTATCATTAATGGATTTAGTAGACGTTAAATATTTGGAAACTAAACAATGGAATTAGATGTTGCAAAGAACTCCTGCTGCTGACATAACTGCAGTCCATATTTGTGTTGCACTCGATAGCCATCTCCAGTTTTGACTACAGCTAATCTTTGGTATTCCTAATTCCATCCTTGCATATCCAGGTGATTCTCTAGGATAACCCCTCCTCACTTTCACTTTCCATATCTTTTTTTTTTTTAAATATATATATATTTCAGCTCAGTCTGTAGTTCCACCTCAACAAAAATGGAATCTTTCTACTCCTATTGTACTTTCTGCAATCAAAACAGAATGTTCTTGTTCTTTCAGGAGAATATCACTGAAAAATATCTCACCTCCTTGGGCTCCCTCAGGTCAGTCTTGCATGTGATCCTGCCTATCAGATACCTGAAGGAAAAAAAAAAAAAATCTTCTTTCCTGAAGTTCAAGTTGTACAAGTTGACTGCCTTCAGGATCTGTGACCTCTTCATCTAACAGTCACTGGGTTCTCTATTTCTTTATTTAGAAAACTCTGAGAACCTCCTTCTTTGCCATGCCCCATTTTTGCTTCCCCCTTACTTCCTCTTTTATTGCTTTGGATTTTGGCTTCCATTATCTGATAAACCTCACTTAAAGCCTTCCTAGATCCTGAGCAAGCTTGCTGGCAAAGATACTTCTGTCCCACTTTGCTAAGTAGGTCACAACTCGTGAGAGTAGGTCATAACAAGTGGTCACCAGATCATAGTACAGAAGGGATGGCATTCTGACACAGTAGTTCAGTCTAGACTGAAGGGTCTGGTGCATTAGCAGTGGTGACATCAAGCAGAGTACTATGGCTTGCCATGTGTTGCCACCATTGATTGCTGTACTGACTCTGGCAGCCCCACTCAGTCTCTGGCAGTGCCTCTGAACCCCCATCTGTATCAGCTGCCACAGTAACCGTTTGGTTTCTCTCTGCTCCTCCTTCTCCGTCATGCTACCTTGGATATCATTTAACCAAGAAGCCAAACATGAGCTTGCACTGCTCCCCATGAATCTTCCTGCTCACCAGCAACTGCTCATACTGTCTCAGTTCTTGGCTGCTATCCCATGAATGCATGGTTCACCACATGCTCTTTTCTTCCACACTGTGTTCCCTACAGGATTCTGAAGCCTAACACTAAACTTCATCTTTTTATTGCTAGGCACCAAAGCTGAGCAGGTTGTTTTGGTGATATAAGGAAATATTTTGCCAGCCCGTAGTCTCCAATACTATTGCATTCACACCTGGTTGAGTACTTAACATATTCTGTAGATAGTTCATGTTACTACCACTTGCTTCACTTTAAAAATCTAACTTAAATCACAGTCTGTGAAGAATGGTTACTCACTTGTTGAAGAAACCTGTTTCAACACAAAAAAGCCCTGATACTTCCTTAGCATTGAAGCACTACTGTTTAATATTTAAAGCTCTTTTTAAGAAAATACAATCACTTATCCATAAGAAAACAATTTCAGGTGTGATCTAGTTTCTTCCAGAGCTGACAACAGTACTTTATTTTGACTTAACTAACTAGAAAACATGTAATTTTGTGAACAGCTTGTAGCTTTTTCCCTGAAGAGAAAAAGGTCCCAAACATTTTTCCTGTCATTTCATCTATATGCGGATACAATGTCTCCATTATGAGTCTATCCTGCACTTTAATTTGCACTAAATATTAATCTCTGGTTTCATTAGACAGTTGAAGTCATCCAGAATTTTATAATCTACACAGAGGTTTTAATTTTGAAATAAGTAAGATTTTTTATTGTATTTTTTTCCTAAAGAGAGTAATTGCAGATTGAGTTACAGTAACTACAAGCAGCAGAAAAAAAATTGTCTTCAAGCTATGGTATGAATTTCTATTTTCTAGTTTATATTATTTAAAAAATAGTCAAATTACCAGCTAATGAATTGTAACAAAATGATAGCATTAAAAATGCAAGTGATTAAACTATAAAAAGAAAACCAAAGCAAAACAAACCCAAACAGCCAGCCAAAATTAAACCCAAACTCAACCCAACCCAACCAACCAAAATAAAAGAATGGAAAAGACCCTACAACTGAAAACATCAATTCCATAAACGTAATTGAAGACATTCACCTATACAAGATAAAATTGTAGCACCAGGACCACCACCGTACAAATAATTCAAACCAATCTTAACTCTAATTTACAGATATCCTTTCTCTCTATGAGCCCCTCCACTGAAAAAGAAATAAAAACAAAACAAAACAAAACAAAAGGTAAAAGAAATTAACAAATCCCAACAACGTTTGGGCCAAAACAAACTTTATTCTTCTTATAAAGATGTATTTAGACGCCTCTTATAATTTTAATGCTTAACTGCGGTGAGAGGTTCCAGCTGCCTCCTAGGCAGATCCCCCTGAGAATGGCTTCCTTTATACTTTGTGGAGAAAGAAATGTTTAAATTGGGCAGACTGCTGATGGTGAAGCCTATCCATAGCAGTAAATTAAGCAGTGGATGGCCTGCTCTTGGTCATGTTAATTGGCATGACCCTTTGGTACTTTCTACTGTCTCAGACTGTGGACTGTGATGGTCACAACTGTGCTGCACATTGCAAACATTGTCTGGCCAATGATAGATCCTGAATAGTGTCTGGAAGTAGTTTGGAAAGAAGTCCTAGTGGACATAGGCTAAAACCCTGCCAAGAATACTCTGTTTATAAATGTAGATGATGGCTGCTGGAGCACAGGAACACACCCAAGATGGTTTAATTTACTTAACCTACATATAACCACATTTGATGAATTAGGTGTCATGACTTCTCTCCAATGACTAAATGACATTACATAGTAGGGAATCTAAATTGCTCATAACATGTTGGCTTGAAGCACTATCAGAGTTAATATGCCTACGTAGTTACCTATAATTGGTAGTATGAGTATATCCTTACATGAGTGCCTAGTCTGTGAATGCCTAGGAACTAACTACGCATTTCTATGTTCTCTGAACATGCAGGAAATCCCTGAACTAGGCAGTCTGGGCCATATGCTCACTGACCTGAGAATACTCAAAAGGACAAGACTCATTCACCTTGGTAAGCAAAGAGCAGGTAGAGTTGAGTCACACCTATGAATCTCAGGGTATCTGTCCACTGCTTTCAGGGTCTCCCATGTAGCTGTTCTCTCTTATAATCCCTCAAAAGAACGGTAATCAAATCCTTTCTGAAATTATGAATACAGAAGGGAAGGTACTGCTGGGCCAGCTTAGTGTGACTCAGTTTTTCATATGGAAATTTATCTAAACTGAAAATCCACTACGAAGTGTGGTTACTCCACAGTTAAAATGGATCTACTAAAGCAAAGAGTGAGAAGAGCAAACCCTTATCCCAAATACTGAAGTCATTGTTCTTGCAGGGGGAAGGGAGTTGCAATCTCACTTTGCCCTCTTCTTTGGGCCCTAATCTTCCATCTCTTTTAATCCTTCACTCTGGGTAGCACAGGATGCCTTATACTCAAGCAGTCTTAATTCTCAGCAGGCTGATTACTTGAGCGATCATTTAGCAAATATGTATTACGTTCTTCCTGCTCTTCCGGAGAAAAGAGAATGAAAGTGCCCAGATAAAACCACGCTTTATTTTTTTTTTCCCCAAAACAAAACAGCAGTGAAAAACATTGTCAGTAATTTAATTATCTTTTAGGCTGACAGCTTTAGCTGTATTTAAAAATTACCAACCGAGGGCTTTGTATTAAGCCTGCCAAAAAAGGAACAGCAACTAACAGATGTGCTTTACTCTTCTTGGGCTCATCACCAGTGAGGTGCAGCTGCTGCTTTGACTATGTCTTTTGTGGCTTGCTTTGAAATGTTGTCCTTTTTTATCACTATGCACTAACTGTATTATCTTGCCTCTTTTTTTTTTTTTTTTTTTTTTTTTTTCCCCTAAAACAAATCGTTATTATTATTATTACTTGACAACATCACAGTGATGAGCTGCAAGAAGAATGCTCTATGGATGCTGGAGTAAGTTAAAATTGTGCTAGTGGTGCAGAGGACAGGTTTAGGTAATACACATATGTCTACATAATGCAGCAGACTGATGTTCATTTTTAATTAATGGGACACTTCTCAGTGAAAAGGTGGCAGTTGTTTTATAAGCTAGACAGAAATATCAGCTGGAGCACACTGAGTGTGTTTGTTCACCTTGCAAGAGAATTTAGGGTATCACATTTGTTTTATTTAATCTGTGTTTAGATGTTTAAAGAGATGGCAACACTGGGAAAATGATTTGGCTTGCAAAATTATTAAAGCAAACATTTCTCAGTTTGACATTATTCATATTTGAATAGAATGGATTAGACAGAGAATGTTCACTCTTCTAGCTCTTAGCACATTTGGTAATTACAATAGCATAAAATGCAGAAGTGAAAATGGAATAAAATATCAACATTAAAATATTTATCTTATTTTTATTTTATTTTTTTCAGGAATGCAGAGGAGGGTGTGGAGAAATGGTAGAAAAAATACTTAGGTAATATTGGAGATTTTTGCAAGGTACTGAACAGTTCCTTTCCTTCATCTTGTGGAATTATTATTTTCTTTTTTCTTGGAATGCTTTCAGAAATCTGTACACTTAACATCATCAGAAAAAGCTAGTTTTTTTTTTTTGTTTGTTTGTTTGTTTTTCTTTCTGTAAAGAATATTCTATGAATAATGAAAACAGTAATTACAATTAGCTTAGATGCTGACATCCATTGGGGTAGAATTGTTATTTGACTTTACAACCTTAGGAAACATCTACTTATCTGATTCTTAGCCAGAAAATTTAAGTCTTGTATTGAGAACTGTGTGTGACCTTGAACATTGACCACAGCTTTTAGTTAGGGAGTGAGTGTTAGGAATGAGCAAGGAGAGTCCAAGGGAGCTAGGAGCATGGAATAAGCAGAAAAAGGTTGATAAAAATGCTGAGAACATGCTGAGAAATATATTCTTCCTCTCCTCTTCCATACATATCGTCTGACACTATCTGCAGTGTAGAAGCATTGCCATGCTTCTATTTTTCAGTCTTTTCTTCTGGGTAACAGAACAAGAACTGACCCTGGGTACCAGACTAGGGCAGAGGAGGTGGAAAAAAAAAAGAAAAAAAGAAAAAAAAAGAAAAAAGAATTAGAAGATTATGCTGACAGCATGCATACATCACCTTAACTCTTCTCCCACCCACAGTATACTAGTTTACATATAGCTCAGCACTGTGTGTTTGTGTTGCTGCTACATCTTTCAGTTCACCCTTAGTTAACTTTTATTTGTTTCCAAGTTAGATTACGTAGTCTGTCCTAAGTGTTTCTTCTTCCCCCTCCCCTCCCCTCCCCTCCCCTCCCCTCCCCTCCCCTCCCCTCCCCTCCCCTCCCCTTCCCTTCCCTTCCCTTCCCTTCCCTTCCCTTCCCTTCCCTTCCCTTCCCTTCCCTTCCCTTCCCTTCCCTTCCCTTCCCTTCCCTTCCCTTCCCTTCCCTTTTTCTTTCCTTTTGCTTCCCATAGCATAGCACTATTCAGGTTGGAAAAGACCTCTAAGATCACCTAGTCCAACCTTTAACCTAGTGCTAAAGTCCACCACTAAACCATGCTACTAAGTTTTACAGCTATACATTTCTTGAAGTTCTCCAGGGTTGGTGACTCCACCACTTCCCTGGGCAGCCTGTTCCAATGCTGCACAACTCTCTCAGTAAAGACATTTCTCCTAATATCCAACCTGGTGCAACTTGAGGCCATCTCCCCTCCCAAGCCCCAAGTGTGAAAATGAGAAGAGCCCAATCCCCACCTCACTACAATCCCATTAAGGCAACTGTAAAGTACATCAATGTTTCCCCTAAGCCTTCTCTCTTCTCCCAAGCTCAGCAACCGCTGCTCCCTCAGCTGTTCCTCATAAGACTTGTTCTCTAAAGCCTTCACCAGTTTTGTTGCCCTTTTGTCACACCCCAGCACCTGGATGTCCTTGTAGTGAGGGGCTACGTATGTCTTCTGAAATTGGTAAGTGCAGTATGACTTCTGAGGGACTCAGGTTACTGTGTATGTTAGAGGCACACCTCATACAGAACTGAAAGGATAAAACCGTCACAAAAAAAAAGTGACAATATGCTAGAAAATACAATGTGTTCTTCCATGCTGAGGTATTTCCCACTTTTGGAGTAGGAGTGTGTCAGCTATGCAGCTTTTAGACCAAAAAAAAACCCCACAACAAAACAAAACAAAACAAAACAAAAAAACACCTCCCCCCTCCAAACAAACAAAAACAAACAAACAAACAAAAACCTCTTCTTTTGTCTGTGCCCTTGAAGTGTGTGGACCTGCTGGTATGGTGTCATATTCTGACCATGTAGTCATTGATGTTTAACCTAGAACTTGGCGGCATCAATTTCAGATCATCTTCTATTGTTCTCTTCAATAACTCCTACTGGCTACCAACCCATAATTTATTGCAGCAGCAATACTGAATTACAGTTTCATGTGTCTAACTGTTGTGGTTTAACCTCTGTGAAATGTCCATAAAATGTTCATAAAATGTCAGAGTTCTTTTACTCCATGACTTAACTTCCATCTGTTATGGTGGTTGCTCAGGATGGGAGAGGAGGTGTGTTGCATGGAGTTATTGGATGGTAAAACCAGCTCAGGTTGGGTCACTGCTGTACTTGCACTGCTTCTTATAAGGCTCATCCTCTGTTGGTTTGAGTGGTTTCTGCTACAGAACTTCCTATAACTTGCAACTCAGATCATGGGTTACAACAATTTAAAGGTATAATCTCCACCTCCTGGTCCCTTCAGATCAGACTACGGGGTATAACATTGCAATGAACTCCTTCCCTTGCCCCTGGACTGGCTAGTGGCAAGGGGTTCCTGCTATAGTATTTACAGTAACAAGCAACTCAAATCATGCATGGGTTGCAACAGTTTAAAGGCATATCATATCACTCTTCACCTCTTGTCCTTTTGGAACAGCTTATAGGGTTTAACAGTGGGCCCTCACCCCTTCTCCAGCCTGGGCTTGTCTATTGACTACAGTCTTGTAGAGGTGTACCTGCTCCTGTGAGGCTTTACCCATGAGCCATAGTCCCTTCACAGGTCTACCTGCTATGTGGTGGACTTACCTATGGCCACAGATGCTTCGAGGTGTATCTGCTCTGGCATGGACTTTTCCATTGGCCACAGACCCTTCAGAGGTCCATCCCTTCAGACACCTTCTGTGTCATGGTCTTATCCATGGACACAGACACTTTGAGGTAGTATGGAATGACCTATCCACAGACACAGACATTTTGCAAGGTGTACCTGCTGTGGCATGGACTTCTCTGTGGCTATAGATGTTTCAAGGGATACTTTGCTCCAGAATGGACTTACCTGTGGCCACAGATGTTTTAGGGTGTACATGCCCCCAGGTAGACTCATCTGCAGGTCACAGTCCCTCTCACTTGAGTCCAGTCTGGAGTCCCAGACTATCCATTACAGCAGCATAGGAACAGCAGCGATGTCCTGGCAATTGGCCAGCCAGGTGGATGGCCATAGCTGTCGTCAAAACATTCCCAGGAACAGCAAAGCAAGATGATAAGGCATAGAGCAAATGGTGAAAACAAAAGCAGCCACTGACAAGCACTGAACTCTAACATACAGTAAGGCAAACAAGCCTCACGAAGCCTGCCAATTAGCATCTAAACATCTGTAACAGATGTTTTGTAAATTTAGTCTAGCACTCCACACTGCAATCAAATCTGTTGTCATCTCAAACCTGTCATTCCCCATGTTGAGCACCAAAATAGGACTGTTGTGGGTAAGCCCTGGCAGGCAGCTCTGCACCACCCAGCTGCTCGTTCACTCTCCCCAGGTGATATGGGGGAGAGAATCAGAAAGATAAAAAAAACTCACAGGTTGAGACAAAAACAGTTTACTAGGGAAAGCTAAAGCTACGTGCACAAGCAAAGCAAGCCAAGGAGTCCATTCGCTGCTTCCCCTTGGCAGGCAGCTGTTCAGCCACTTCCAGGAAAGCAGGGTGACCCCTGCTTTCACATGTAATGGTTTCTTGGGAAGACAAACACCATCACTCTGAATGCACCCT